CACTATAAAATTGAGGATGCAAAATTTACCATTCAGTTATACTATATAAAATCAGAACAATATTTATTAAGTTGATATGGGATTACAAAAGTGAATCTGGTTTCTAGTTATAGTCTAATGGGAAGGGAAACAGAAAACTAAACATTGTGATACTGAGTAGAGCATGAGAATTCGGAGATACTTAAAAAGCCACTCACTGCTTGGCACTGAAGAAACTTCCCAGCAATGTCCCAGTAAAATGGGGTCTTGGAAGAGAAATAAAAACCTGCCACCATTAGATGGGCTTTCATGTGTGTGCATGCACACACACATGCACGTGATTTGAGGACTGGACCCAGGGCTTTGTGGATACTAAGAATATCACCAATGAACTATACTCCCGGCCTTAGAAAAGTCTTTGAACTGATCCAAACATTGAGGCCAGTGGAGATTAAGAAAGGAAATTTAAAACTGTAAAAAAAAAATCTAGTGAAATAGGTTTTCTTAACTCAGCTATGATACCCTAAATCCTCAACTTACGAATAATTTTTGTTCTGGGAGAACGTTTGTAAATCGGATTCTTTCATAAGTCCAACAGTCTTATACACCTTTGACACAAATACACCATGCGTATTGCTTTGCACATCTAGCAGTCCCCTCCACATCACCACTGCTTTTCCTCTTGCTTCCGGACATCCTGGACTCTGATTGAGCACTGTACTACTGTACACTATCGCTCCATACAGTAAGCACACAGCAGCGCAACTGTGACAATGTCTGGCAGATTCGTGAGCTACTTCCACTATTTGTTTGCCTCTATGGATGTTCGTAATAAGAAGTCTGTTCATATCTGTGAAAGTGCACAACTCAAATGTTCATAAACCAGGGACTTAGTGTAATCTAGTTAAACCAAAATTGCACTTACTTCAACTCAGTTATTCAAACAGAATTAGAAACCTTCAACTTACTTTTTATAATTTTCAAAACATCAATATACTCTATGCCTAAAAAGTGAAATGAGGGAAGTTCATATTTTCCCACTAAAGAAAGTGATTCTAAGAGGAAAGCCTATAAACCTTGTCTTACCAATGAATAAAGAAAGAATAAATGGCATACAACTGGGAAGTGAAGTTTAGAAGGACTGTTTGGGGCATTTAGTTCCATTTGAAAATTTCCTTTATGACCTAAAAGACTTACTTATTCTCAAGTCACCAAAGGAAAAAGCATAAACTTGCTTAAAAATCAGAAGAGGGAGGGGCATGGGAGAAGCTGTACATATCTGTACAAATAAAAATAAAATGGTAATTCCTATGGCCAAAATAATCAATCCTAAATCCATGCAACTGAAGACATAATTTAGTTGGATTCCTGGGGATAGATATTTTTATGTCTTCAGTTTCTGCCAAGTCACTGTCTCATTTGGCAGCCATTTATTAAACCCCTTTGAAGTTGTGGTGGATATAAATGTGAACTTGATATAGTTAGTCTCTGACTTCAGACTTTGTAAGAAAAAATTTCTCTGTGTAAGAACTCTTATTTCATCTTTCATATCTTCATCAAAGCCAAAACTCTTCCTGTTCAGTTCTAATCACATTTCCATTTTCGTGGTCATCTGGCCTTTCATCCTCTTCACATGGAGTCCTGCTGTCTCCCCAACTCCAACCAGACCATTTCCCCACAGCTAACTTGTACTCCAGCTAGGAAGACAGTGAGTCATACAGTAGCTTATTATTGTACACTCCTTGATTTGCATTTGTGAGAAAAGCCATAGGAGCGCCTTAATGTCAAGAGGAAGGCTAGCACAGGGTGTGCTAGCCACAGGTGTACACTCCACATGTGCATTATGGTCAGAAACAAGGCCATTTGGTAGGTGTGGAAGAGATATGGACCTTATGAGCCAGAGGTCTAGAGGATTGGAGAAGTCATGTCTTTGTCCTGCGCTCCCTGGGGTCTTGCTAAACAAGCCCCCTGTTGGATACTTTTCTACCTATGCTGAATGCTAGAGGTACTTTCTCCAGAAAATATATCAAAAAATTTGAATGAAAGATTTTTTAAAACTTCTTTGATAAAATAGACTTGCCTAGAAAGACAGCTGTCTCCCTGACTTGTGCCTTTTCTTTGTTTTCCTATTTAGATGTTTTTGTAGACAATGTTCTTACTTTCCAGAATTCTTTCAAATTGATAGTTTTTCAGCATTGAGAACTAAAAGTACAGAAATCAATCCCCCTGGCATTCTAAAACTATAGATAATTTAGGGTTATTCAGTATGTAGATGCACAAAATTATAGGGATAAATTTTTGGCCCTTTTTTAAAGAGTACAAGGAACTTTCCATGGAATATAATTTGTATTTATCTACATAAAAATTATTTCATCCCCAATCAGAAATCTAAAATGCTTCAAAATGTGAAGTGTTTTAAACATTAACGTGATGCCACGCTTGGAAAAGTCTACACCTGACCTCATGTGATGAGTTGCAGCGAAATCAGGGGCAAACTAAAAATACTATATAAAATTGCCTTCAGACCATGTATATAAACTGTATATAGAGTTTAGACTTGGGACCTATCCCTAAGATCTCTCATTTTGTATTTAAATTCAAAAACAACCAAAATATTAAATACCTGTGGCCCCAAGCATTTTGCAAAAGTGATATTCAATCTATATTTTTAAAATCATGAGTTAGGGGATTCAGTTACTCTTAGTTATCTTTTAGTGAAACTAGACTTTTTCTCATATAAATAATGGTTATCAAAGACAAGCATGTGGCATCCTACCTACCTATTCATATTTAAAGTCTCAGTTGTATTGACTGAGTTTGGTCTCTTGACCTTATACACTTTAGCCAATGGGTCGATAAGACCTAGAACCAGAGGCCAGTAGGCAGATTGCACAAATGCAAATGTGTTAAAATACCTTATCGGAGTATAATGTAGTACCGTATTTAATGGTGACTTTCAAACTCCATGAATACTCACAGCAGCAGAATTCGGCTCTTATTTGATATTGTGAAGTCAAGACCACGTGTCATCCCTGGAAAAGATCATTACATTAAGCACATATGACTAAAAGAGCAACTTATACCAGGACTTACACACTAATGAATGGTTACTTTGAAAACTGTTGCAAACTCACAGTTTGTATCTGAACCACCTATACATAAGACACAGAGTCTGGGATACTAATCACATTTTCAGAAGCATTCACAGAATCGTGAAGCTTAGCCATTTCTTCATTTTCTAGTATATTATATTCTATACCAGTGCTTTCAAGTACATTTCCAGATAACAAAATTGACTTTATGCCAGAAAATATTGTACATTACTCCTAAAATCAAATAGACCATGGCATTTATAAAACTTCAAATATGTTTTATCCCACAAACATGGGAGGCTTGCAGTCACTCAGCATTTAAAAATGTTTCAATATAAATAGTATGGATAATACCCAAGAAGAGGTTCAAATTCAGAAAATAAAATATGAAGGAATCCGTGATTCCACTCAGAGACTAAAGGAACATCAAAAGAGATAGATAGATAGATAGATAGATAGATAGATAGATAGATAGATAGATAGATAGACAGACAGACAGACAGATAGATAAATAGATAATCTTGGATGCTCCTAGTGAAATTTGTGGAACTTTATACATATTAAATGCTTAAACTGAACAATAACTGAAGAAGTACCTATCTCTGTAACTTGAACACCAAAAGAGCATTCCCAATGTTTATCTCTCGGTAACATCCACAAATTAAAGTATGAAAATCAGTCTGTCAACTCTATGTCAAAATCATAAGCTCTGATGGAGATCTATTTTCCCATATTTAAATGATAGCATAAATATGTTAAAGTACCAAATGTGTGTCTTCATTTCAGTCCCTGAATGACCATTACATACTTCCATATTGTGCTTTGAGAAAAATTGAATGACACTTTTTCTTGTATTTACTATTATTTAGGTCTCTCTTATCTTCCATTGCTATTACATTGACACTGTGCCAAAGAAACAATGAAGTAAAATTAAGTAGTGTCATATAAATATTTTGATTTGGTGATACTTCAGAATATTTGGTTTCTTATATTACATCTCTTAAAATAGAATTTTTAAAATAAGTTAAATTTCTTTGACAAGTAGAAAATCATATGGTCATGTCTGGAAAACTAGGCCAGATAATTGAGGGATTAACCACTTGTGTATCGTAAGTGTATTTTCCTTTTTAACCATAGAAAGTCTAGATTCAAAAAGGTACAGAATAACTGAAAGTAAATAGTTGGCTGCCACTGATAACTAAAGACCCACTAAAAATATAACTCAAAAATTGCTGAATTGTAGAACAAGCTACTGGGAAAATATGATTGAATTTACAGGAATGTATTTTACTATAGATTTTCACAAACATCTACAAGATGCCTGTACAATCAATATAACAGTATTTTCTACTCTCCTCAAATAACATTTGTTAGGTACTACAAAAGCATTCCAAGGAAACGTAGAGGGTGTGTTTTAGGTGAATTGAGCTTTTCAAGAGAGGAAGGAGGGAGAGTGTTCATTCGTTTCTACTGATCCATGTGTTCACATTTATCGCTGCATAGACACTGACAACCCAGCCTTCACCAGAGCCCGTTATCTTGGCGTCTGAAGCCATTCTCCAGATCTCAGGATGAGCTTTTTGTCTAAGTGAGGAGAAGGATTGGCCCTGTGACTCAATAAGTGTCATTTCTGCATATTGAAACTGGAGGATAATTCTAAAACTACTCCAAGAGAAAGAAAAAAAAGGCTTGAGCTTTAAAATTCGAAGTTGGCTGCATCAAAAATATGCTGACAGTGCTAAAAGGCTCATTTCCCACTCCCTGGTAGTTTTCTTTCTTTCTTTCTTGCCCCCACCCCATTATTTATTTATGTATGTACTTATTTTCGGTAGGCTTGCTGTTCCCATTTTGTTGCAAGGCTGCATTTTAACTCATCTGATTCCGCAGTTTGACGAAGCCCTTTAAATACCTGTGTTCGTTTTTTCTCAGCTGGTGAATGAGCAACAGGAAAGCAGGCCGCTCCTGAGTCCGTCCATTGATGACTTTCTCTGTGAAACCAAATCGGAGGCAATTGCAAGGCCAGTAACGTCCAATACAGCCGGTAATTCTTTCGCTTTTAACTGTGCCTCACATAGAGTTAATCTGAATTATAGTTAAGTGCACATTTTTTCCTCCAGGCATTTTAGGTAGGGAATGATATTTGCAACCAATTGAAACTTTAGAACATATTCCATTCTACATAAAATAATAAATTACTTTTTATTTCATAAGCAACTACAGTGTATGCTACCAACCAATTTTGCTGATCATAACTGTACTGTTGTTAGCAATTATTTTTTCTATGAATATTTTTACATTTACATCTTTGCATTTCTAGTTGCATCGCATTAAAATGAAAGCATCTATTTCAGAGTAAGGTTTATTCAAGTTCTGGTTGACGGCCCAATTATTTCTGAAAATATTATTTGTAACAAAATTTAGTAAAATAAAAATATGAGAGTCTTCCCACTGAGATTTAAAGAACAATTAAATTCTCCCATAGCCAAAGAACAGTATAAAGCCAATTTTGTTTTCTGTCCTGTCAGTATGTTACTTGCTCCCTCTTAGAAACTGCATGAACATTCAATGTTTTTGAACATTCTTCTGGGATTAAACATACTGAAACAGAAAATCATCATTGGTTCAGCACCTGGCATGTACAGGAGCAGGCACTGAATGTGTGTGAATCCTGTGAGCAACTGTACATGCTGCTGGCAAGAGTTACACTTCTCTAGCAGTGGCAGCCATTCTGCATTAACTTAATTTGCTCCACATTCACATTCAAAGGCATGTTGTTCAACTAAGAATGAAAAAGTGATATTTAAAATCAAAGATTACATGGAATGTATAGTGCAGAATTTAATGGAAGAAGAAGATAATCACAGTCTGTTTTAAATTTGTTCCATTTCACCAGTGCAGCCTCCACTGTCTGTCAGCTTGTATATTTTCATTGTACACCCAAGCGAAGAAAATCCCAGAAGGAAATTGGAATTTTTCCAAAATGCTAAAAATTACAGCAAGGGGAACTTGTGTCAGATAGTGGTGCCCTATGTGGGAGTACAGGCTATGGTTTCTGGGATCAAACTCCATAAGTTCTAACCCCAAGTTACTAAGTTTCCTCATCTATCTAGTGGTAAATAAGCTCAGTTTCCTCACCTGGCTAATAATAGTAAGATCTGTATCTCAAAAGTTACTTGGGAAGGTTAAATAAAACAGTCTAAGAAACTACTTATCACCATGGGCACATTGTGAAATCTAATACAAAACAACTATTTCTGTTAGATGTAAGTTAGAAACTGCATTCCAGACACTTCCTTTTTCAATTGCATCAATTTTTTAATACACACCAAAACAGTCATTCTTCTAAATTCAACTATAACTTTGAATAATCAAGAAAATAAAATGGTACTTGGTACATTCGGGCAGGAAATTAAGTAAGTTTGCAAACTAACAAAATTTATTTTCCTGATATATGAAACAGACTCAGCCCTCCAAACCTGGAGAACTACCCCAGGAAATACAGAGAAACTTGTATCTCTAATTGTGGCCAAACCTAGGAGAATTTGGTGAACTAAGTTTCTCTTCACTTTCCAATTCTCACTGAGAAAACTAAGTTAGTTAAGAAGAGCCCACTGTGAGAGAGCAGCATAAGATTTGACTCAAAAGCTACTTTTCATCTCAATTTTTTAACATATAAAAGCCCTATGAAATTTTGGGAAGAAATCAAAAGAAGGCATAATTTCTGACAATCCAAACACCTAAGGCATTACCCTTTTTATGCGCTTCCTAGAGCAGCTGGGACAAACTACCACTAGCAGGGTGGATTAACAAGAGAAATCTACTGTCACATAGTTCTGGAGGCTAGAAGCCCAAAATCAATATGGGAGCAGGGCCACACTCCTTCTGAAGGCTCTGAGGAAGAACCTGCTCTGGGTATCTCTTCTCATGTCTCTCTGGTGATCCTTTCATTTATGGCAGCATAACTCCAGTCTTTCCATGGGGTTTTGTATATATGTGGCCTACTCTGCACATCTTACTCTATGTCCAAATGTCTCCTTTGATGAAGACATGAAACAAGTTGGAGCATCAGCCTATCCCTGTCCAGCATAACAATGTTAGTTCCAAATGAAATCACATCCTGAGGTGTTAGGTCTTTGGCATAAGAATGAGGGGAGAGGCACAATTCAATCCATAACATTAAATGAAGGATGGGGCTGGGAAAATGGTGTTCTGAGACTGTAGAATTCCTTTGTAGCCCAAGTGTTCAGTATACCTGGTTCACATGATTTTTATCCTGAAAACAGACTCACAGTTAATAACATGCTTCTTAGTCTTAAAAGTATATCTCAAGGAAGAAACTTTCTATTTTTAAGTCCCAAAGAAATATGGTTCTTATATAATGGAACACAAAGTAAGCAATACAAGGAGTATTTTTCCCAATGTTGAATCAAATGATGGGTTTTTGTAACTCTTAAAAGAATATATATTTTGCCTCATAGAAGTTTTAATTACAATTTTTAAGTGCTTTGATTATCTTTCAATTTCTGCTTGTTTCTACATTAAGATTAACTTTTTGTCATCCAATGATGGTAATTTCAAGCTAATTCATTAAGGATGTTTGCCTTTTCTTTCTTCCTATTGACATCCTAAATTCTCTTTAATTAATCTCATCCATATAGGGAGCTAATTCTTTGGCCCTCTCAACTTGTATTCCTAGATGGTAAGCTACAATAATCATTAAAATCTTTGATTTTATGAAGGCAAATAAATATTATGCACATATTCATACATCAAATGCTCTAAAATAAACAATAGAATTTAAAGAGTGATTATATTATAGTCCAAGTAATGCTGATGAAGTTCTTAACAACACTCATTGCTCTGTAATCTCCCAATAAACCTAACGTATGTTGCTGCACAGGACAGACTCTGCGAGAGATCAAGGAGAAAAACAGGTGTTTATATTTATTAAGCTGTATAATTTTAAAATATTTTCTCCACAGACTCGAGCCACTGGGTGAATGGTTACTTTAGGGAGAACATTTTTCATGGCTTAAAAAGTATTTAATATCATTCTTTTATCTGAAGTTTGTATGCCTATAAGGCACCCTTATTTATAAGGCTAGAACTACCCTTAACAAAGTTCCCAATCCTGCCACAGTCACCTAATAAAGTATCTTAACTGTAATCTTAGTGTAACATTTACAAAATATGTTTTTATAAAACTCAAGTGGCTGTGAACCCAATGGCCTGCCTCTGAAAAGGCTTAGACATATGAGAAGTAGTTTTACTTTCAAACTCCAGCTTTAAAATGTTGATTGGATTAAATGCAGTTTATCTATTTGACATATCTATTTAAAAGTTTCTGAGATTACTAAATATTTAAATCACACCTCATTATCCTGTGGTATGGCTAATAACATTGTGTGTAGCACCAAACTATCATAACATGGTTTCATGATAATTATTATTTTATTTTGTTTTAAGCAAGTTCACCTCCCAAGACCCAAGGAAGCTAGCTAGTACTTACAGACATCTGCATGGCCTTGTGGGAGCCTTCCAGTTCAATAGGCTGTGATCTTCCATCAGATGTCCTTGAGGGTTGGAAACAAATATTTTGGGAATGTATTATCTTCAGTTTTCAAAAAATTTCATCCAGTGGAATTAGGTTATCCAAAAAAGAAATTTTCTGATATTACTGATCATTTTCATCATGCCACAGACTATGCAAACCTCCAAAGAATCAGGAGCTTAAAAAAAAATACACCATATGATAGACTACACCACGTCTCTTGGTTCAGGTGAAGTCTGAACAGGAGTGGTAAAGAACACAGGCTTGCAGAGCCAGACCTGGGTTTAAGTCTTGGTACAGAGACTGACATAATAGCTATGTTAGTTTTCCATTGCTGATATAACAAGTTACCTCAACTTTAGTGTCCAAAAACAACACCATTTTATTATCTTAAGGTTCTGGAAGTCAAAAGTCTTTCAATCAAGGAATCATCAGGGCCACAGTCCTTCTGGAGACTCTAAGAGAAAACTTGTTCTCCTTGCTTTTTTAGCTTCTAGAAGCCACCTGTAATTTGTTAGTTTATGGCTCCTCCCTCCATCTTCAAAACCAGCTGCACCTCAGTTTCATTCTTGTATCTCCTCTGATTCTCCTCAATTCCCTCACATAAAAATAGTTATGATTATATTATGATCATATTGATTTGAATGATGAGCACTGTTCTAAGGGCTTTAAATAAAGCACTCCATTTAATGTTTTTACTCCATGAAGGAGAGTTTTATTTTAGGTGGGCAGAAACTGAGGAACTAAATAACTTCACAAGTCACACAGCTAATGCATGGCCGGGCCAGGATTTGAACCAGGCAGTCTCTGCCACTGTCCCATTCTGCCATATTTTGTGCACAGTGACTATATAACATCAACACACCAAACTGGGTGGGTTGAACTTAAGAAGACAGGACAAAGTGCTACAAGGATTGACTAGGAAAATAAAGACCTGTTCAGAAGCTACCAAGCTTGGGGTCCCTGTTGCAGCAAATGGAAATGAAAGGAATGACTTCCTTTGGACAATGGGTCCCCACTCCTATGAGCCGTGAGTTATAACTGATGTAGTCCATGTAGAAAAGGCTGTATTTGTGAAAATAAGATTATACCTAGGAGATATTTAATTATACATACATGTGCAGATACATATGCACATTTTCACATCCAGTATAAGAGGAAGATATTCTTTGTGCTCTTCTTACTTTAAGAACCCAGATACCAAAATCCAAACTTTCATATTTCTCGGAGAATTTTTTAAGTTGGATTAAGAAAATCAACAAGATTTTCCCCTTCTACACCCCTTTCTACATCCCCTTCTACATCTATGAACACTCTTTGAAACACATGCGGAGCAGTAGGATCCTTATTTTTTTTAAGTCTTACCTAAGGGACACTAAAATGTGATCTCCTCCAGAGAATGAAAGGCTGCCTCTAACCTTCTGTCTTCAAAACTGTGGTCTTCATGTACCCTCCCAACTTCACAGCTTGCCAGTCAACCTCCAAAACACCTCTTTCATCAAGGCGGTAACAAAAAAGGCCTTTGTGTATGCCAAGCATTGCTTTCACAGGGAGATCAGAACAAACACAAGAAGTGCCCAAGACACTTTGGAGAGGAAAAGAATCCTGCTGGGCCAAGTTTGAATTTGCAGTTCACTCTTTTAATAATTTATTTCTTGTGAATGGTGAGAAGCAGATGTAGAATTAAATTAGTGCTCACCAGTTATTACTTTGTAACAAATATACTCCTATGTAAAGTGGATGATTCCTATATAATTGGCTTCTGAAATAAGTCTAAGAGCAAGTGACTAATTCTTACTTGTTTATACATTTGGTAAAATATATATAACATATATTATTTCATATATATAGCATTCCAGAGACTGACATCCTCTTCCTTACTTCTATTACAAGGAAGTCACAATTGAGCCTAGAATCCTTGCCAACCTAACACTGGCCTACAAATTTTTATTTAACCATTCAACGGACATGAAGTGTGTGGTGTCCTAGCCTATCTTGGCTGCCTGCCATGCTTAAATTTTAGACAGAAAGCCAAGTAGCTTAGTTCTGAAGGCCACTTCTTTTCCTCTACACTCAAGTGCTTTCTAGCCACAAAACACTCCTCATATCTCAGAGGATCTTAGTGTTGCAAAGTGGCTCCTCTCTTCTCATGAAGACTCAGTTGAGATAAGCTGACACTTTTAGGCCATTTTATGATAAATATACTTCTTAGAATCTTCTGTAGAGGTAATATCTTTGCCTCATCCTCAGTTTTGTTCCCAACGGGGTTTCTGTTTTTCAGTGTGTAGATCTGATTCTTGTCTAAAATAGGAAGGAACAGAGAAAATGGGAGTGCAAAAAAGGGAAAAAATAACAAATTGGCCTCCCAAGGATAGAAATAACTTTTTTGTATGTGTTTGTGGTTCTAAGGATCGAGCAGGGCCTCATGCACACTAGGCAAGAGCTTGACACTGAGCTACACACCAAGCTCAGAAATTATATTTGAATTAGTATCATAAGCCTGGCACTTAACATATATCACAATCATTCAGTCTTCATCTCATATTTAAAAGACTGCAATTCTCGTATAATTTTTCAGATAAGCAAACAAACTCAGTCTGATCAAAAAATCCCTCAAGTCACACAACTAAAAGTGGCAGGGCCTGATCTTTCCCCTTCACAGCAGCATCCACTGCTGTGATGGGAATTGAAATCAGAAAGCAAAATGATTAAGTGTCAGCTTTCATAGAGACATCAACAAATCATCTAGAATGGTATTTTCTTACCTGTTTGTTTTTTATCTGTCTCTGAGTATGAGATGCTGGGCACATTACTTTTTATATTTAAGAATGCTACTTTGTTTGACTTGTGTTGTTATAAAATATTTCTAAACAGGGGAAATTAAGAATTGCTATATGCATAGATGAGTATATATGGCTCGAATCATGATGTTGTACACCATAAATACATATGATTTTATTTGTCAATTATACTCAATTTAAAAAACAGTCAAGCTTTGCTCACTATCCTGAGGTTCCCCCAGAGATGAAGGAACTGTAAGGGTAAAGAAACCCTGGCTTTAGCAGAGCCCAGAACCTGCCTTGAATGAAGGATATTGAGACATCAACAAAATCCATTCCCCACCCTGAGAAAAGGCTGGGCTGGGAAAGAGGAAGAGTACGCAGCATTGCTGCAGACTGTGCCCAGAGGTTAAGTCAAGAGCATCGCTGCCCTGCAGGGGCTTTTCCAAGCTAGCTGGGCAAGGAGAAGAGAAAGTCACCAGCTCTGTGCTGCAGCCAGCCTTTCTGGTGCTATGACAGTGACACAGCAGGGCTCGGTGAGGAAGGAGGGGTGGAGGGACCTTCTCTAATTTGAATTTCTTTTTCTCAGTGAGCCAGTCAAATGTTAGTTACTAGCACTATAAAAGAGAAAACTGAAGGTTACAAGGTTTGCCTTTTGAATTATTTGCCTAGCTTGCATTGGGACAAACTATTATTTCTGCCTTTGTTAGTGTTTAATACAATGTGATCAACTTACTAAGAAATAAAAGTATAACAGTTTTATAGTTGGTTACATTGAAATTTAAATTTGCCTATTAAACAGCAAAGGCAGTAACATGTGTACCTATTCATCAACTATGGATTATAGAACAGCTCTCGAGTGTGAGCCCAAACTGCATGCTATTTTCTGATTGAACTGCTTAATTAAATAAAAGATGATTAACAGCATTGCTTTATACCTCATAGATTTCACTGTTTGAAATTAAAGCATAAAGACATTCAAAAACTTCACTAAATCTCTGAACTTTATAGATTGTGCCTTTCCTGGAAAAGCCACAATCTAAAATAAAGCATCACTACAAGTAAAGCAAAATAATAAATTGTACCTGAACTGAAATTCAATTTTATCATCTTAATGTCCTTCAAACCTTCATCACTGCTGAGGCTGGTCTAAATTCTGTTTCACTGATTTGTACCATGCCAAAAAGAACATGCAGCAAACTTCCCAGCCTAACAGTATTTATAAATCAGTAGTGAGCCAACTGAATTTGGTGTTTCAAACCTATCCCATCAACACAAGAACCCTCTGTACCTGACTGAAATCTATTTTTTAAAATAAATAACTAAAAAGCAGTAAATGTGCTTGTCTTACTCTCTTCCATTTCTGATAGTGTTGACCACTGGCTTAGATCTCCTTGACCTGAGTGAACCAGTGTCTCAAACCCAAACCAAAGCTAAGAAGTTGGAGGCCTCATCAAAAACCTCATCCCTCAAGAAAAAGGTCGATGGATCAGACCTCATCAGTGCAGATGCTGAGCAGAGAAGCCAGCCTCTCAGAGGCCCAGAGACCTCATCCTTAGATCTTGGTAAGGCAATAGCTCAGGGTGGCTGCTGCTCAACCTTACCATGATGGTTTTGACACAACAGGGAAGTTTTGTGGGTGACATTAAAACAGTGAACCAAGAAGGAAAAGAGATGGGCAGGGCATAGTTTCTTTTGTGGTTGAATTGAATAACCACTGGGGAGCTCAACTCTGCATAACTGGCATTGATTCATTCATCTAGGTATTCAACCCACATACATTGAGTTCTTGATAGATGGCAGGCACCATGGTAAGCATGAATCTTGCTCTCCAGGGCCACTCAATCTAGAGCAAAAGGGAGACACAGAAGTAAACAATGCTAGCACAAGGCCCGGGGACAGCCAAACAAAACAGAAGCATCCAATATATTTGAGGATGTGTCTAAGACAAAAATAATAGCTACTGTTTATTCTGGTTTATAATATCCAGGGACTACATTACATGACCGACACAAATCGTCACATTTCTGAAATATTTGAAAAACCAGGTTTTAATAATTAACTTCCCCAAGATCTCATAGTTAGTAAGAGGAAGAGCTGGAATTTGAGCCTAGCTGTAGTTAACTTCAAAGCCCATATTTTTATCCCCCATTTCTATGTCTTCCAGATAAAGGACAGATTAATGCTCAGCTTGTGAAACTAATCAAATCAGCCTTTCTTTTCTTGGGAGAAAAATAGTGGGTATTTCAAAAAGCCAAGGGAGATATCTGTCTCTTCTGGCTGTGACTGACTAGTATGTTTGTGTATGTCTGTGTATGGATGAATAAATATATTCAGAAACTGAACATACTCATAACTTATCCATGATGTTATGAAGCATAAATAAGATACATATGGGCAATTACTTACCATTGTGATATGTATATAAGGTGAGCATGAATTCATGTATTCATTTGTCTATAAAATATTTCTCTGAGTACCTACAGTGTTCCAGGCACATATCCTATCCTAGTAATACAAAAATAAATAGTATAAGCTCTCTCCCTTAGTAAGAAGCCTACATTCCTGTGGGGAAGTAGAAAGATAATTATAGTATAATATTAACTACATATTTAATAAAAGGAACCTCAGATTAGTTATTACATAAACATCTTGATAGTGCTTCTGACAAAACAAGGAAGTGAAGAAGATGCCTTATACAATACACCATGAGTCTTGAGGGATGAGTAGGAATTTGCCAGATGGAAAAGGTAGATCAGAAGAGGTGGAGAAACATTCCTGGTACAAACAAGGAAGAGATCCACACACAAATAGGCAAGTAAATACAAGAAAATGTATTTTCAAGTAAATATAAGTACTGCAATAGTATTCAAAGATGGTAGATTGGTGAGAAAAAAGTCTGAAAGACACTAGTGGTCAGACAAAGGATGCCATGGATGGAGTCTGATTTTGAGAGTCCCTGGATACCATGCCCTTAAGATTGGGTGAGAAGGGGTATTATTTGAAGGACTTACCTGAAGAGTGACAGAAACCAACTGTATTTATAAAAATCCTTCTCTGATCAGTGTGTGAGGAGAGGTATAAAGCCAAGGAGAACAAAACAAAGATCCAGAAGTGGCAGAGAAGGAGGCAAAAAAGAGACAGACTCAAAAGTATGTATTAAAGTAGGATTTTGGAGTTAGGTGAATGTGCTTATTCAAGTAACAGGAACATAAAGGAAGGACATGCCAAATCTGCAACAGAGGATACCAGAAGGGAAGGAGTAAAGGAGGACATCAAAGTGAAAACTACCTAGTTCAGCTTTGGACCTGTAGTATGTTTGAAGAAACTGTGGGAGACTATTAAATATACAGGTTAGAACTGGGGAGGAAGAGCTGAGCAAGAAATGGACTTGGAAGTTGGAAGCCTGTGCACCTTGAAAACATGCTGAGTGAAGTAAGAAAAAGATAAACAGTGGGTGAATCTACACTCATGTGCCTAGAATAATCAAAGTCACAGAGACAGAAAGTAGGATAGAATTAACTAGAGTTTGTGGGAAAGAGGAATGAGGAGTTAGGGTCTAAATGGTAGAGCCTTGGTTTGGGATGATAGGAAAAGTTCTGGAAATAAATAGTGATGATAGTTCCACTGCAGTGTGAATGTACTGATGCCCCTGAATTGTACACTTTAAAATGGTTAAAATGGTAATTTTTTGTGTGTGCATTGTACTACAATTTTTAAAAACGGAAGCAAAAGACCTTAGAAGACATCCACTGCAAGAATACCTTTATGTAAATGAAAAAACTGGACCCCAAGTTAAATTGTTTGTTCAATCACACAACTATAATGAGAGAAAATGCAACCAAGTTCTTTTCTGTAAAAAGTAAGACACTGGAAAGAAACGGTTCCAGCATTCTCTTAGCTTTTTTCATTGCCTCTTTTCTCTCCATACCCATTATAAATTCTCTCCTGTGATGAAAAATTAAGTAGCCTCACAAATCCATTCTGGTTTCTTCCCACCTTCTTTTAACACTGAAATTCATCTCTTTATGGAGAATGTCTTTCTAGAAACATTCCAGAAGTGACCTAAAGCCTCATTCTTAGCTGGAGTCTGATAGAAGGTACTCAATATGCATGTTCTGACACCAGACCTTATGGTGCTCATACACAAGATTCAGAACACACTTAGCTCTTGAGATGAGTTCAGTAAAGTGACCTAACAGCTTCAACTGTAAAAACAATCCAATTTATCTTACTATGTCTCATTTTATTTAGTGGAATATGCTTTAATTAATTAATTAATTTTATGCCACATTGAAAAGGTAATTGGTCTTGGGTTTTGTGAGCCCAGATTGGGTACAATTCACTTGGATAAAACTTCTCCATCTTAATGTATCTCTCTTCTCTCTGCACCTCGTGCTCTCTCCTGGTCTCCTTGCTTCCTCCATTTCTCCTTAGTAGACATTCAAACACAACTGGAAAAATGGGATAATGTTAAGTTTCATGGAGATCGAAACAGCAAAGGGCATCCAATGGCAGAGAGAAAATCCTGCTCATCCAGAACTGGATCAAAAGAGCTCTTATGGTAAGATACGTCAACACTAGAAAATAGCCATTTGTGTGCTACCTGTGTGAGTGTTTCTTTCGTGTACTGAAATAGCCTGAGAGTTCACTTAATCCAAACACTTGGTATCATGTATAATACTTCCTTATATGAAAGTGTTAATTGTTACGGCTTTTGTCAGCTTTAAATTATTTCATCTGAGTTGTCAAAAATTCATTCAATCAATAAGGATTTGAGGAGGTTCACGATACAATATATGTTGATAATTTTCTGAATGTATGATTGAGCTATTAGTCAAAATAGGTAAATATGCATATACATATCTGAATATATTCAATATATTGTACATGTGACAGTTACACTCTTCTGGTTATTCAGGTAACCTTCCCTGGTTTCTTCAGTTACCCACTGTCAGATAATGTAACAGTTAAGAATAATTCATAGCCCCCATGCAAAACTCTGGCCACCTGAGTTTTACTATGTTTTCAAGTGTTTTAAAGGGTAGTCCTGTTTCAGCTTTCTGTTATCCTCACACATCTCCACTTAATTATTTCAAATTCTATAGGAAAATGCTTAAAAGTGGTCCTTATATTAGAGGTTTATAAAACTTAACTTGTTCATCACAGTCCTAATGAGAGCTTTGTTATCGTGGCTGTCAGTGATCCAACTTAATGAGCTTCTTGTTCTTGGTGTACATTAATTTTCATAATGCGCCTCTCACAGGTCCTCAGAGCACAGGTCTCAACCAGAACTGAGTGGCGGGAAAAGTGCCCTAAACTCTGAATCTGCTTCTGAACTAGAGTTAGTGACTCCAGCACAGGTAACAAAGCCAATTCTCCTACTAGATAATATATATCATTTTTTTTTAATTTTTCACAAAAGTTTAGATGTTTTTGTACTTTATATTCATGTGCTTTTGTATTCAGTAGCTATCTCAACGCTTAGACTATCTGAATATATATATATATATATATATATGGCTAGAAAATGTGTTAATGAATTCACTGTGTACTTAGCACTTTTTCCTTGTTCTGCCATTGACTGTGGCATTATTTTAGAATACAAAATCTGTTCTACTCCAGTATTAGCACTATTTACATAACAGAACACAAAGAAGAGGAAATTACATCTTAAGTGTTTATTCACATCTGTGCCCTATAGAATAAGGTACTATACAGTAGTGTCCTGGCTTTCCCATTAAACTAAATTTTATGCCAAAGAATATATTATTCTAGTTTTAGCAGCAATGATAATAATAAAGCATTATGGACTCAGTCTGTGCTTTTCATGCACCATATGTAATACTCAATCCCCTGACTTATTATTAGCTGCATTTTAAAGATACTTTCAAGATGTTTTTTAGTCTCAGTGAAGTTTAATACATTTCCTGGGTCATAATCACTGGCAGAAATAGTGTATGAACCAGACCTATCTGTCTACTGCTTGGCCCTCAACTTTGATATAACTAACTAGCTTTGTGACTAGCTATACCAATAACTAGCTATACTTATGATTAAGACCATCTCTCCAGTGGTCCTAAGAAGGCCAAAGACATACTCAATTTTCTTATCCCTTTGAACATTCTTTCAAGGCCATAGCCTTGATCCAAGACTACAAAGATCTTTTAAGAAGTGTATGACCACATTCATAAATTCTACCATCTTACTTGAGGTGAGAGTCGGTGTTTAAAGAAAACAAGTGGTGTGAAATTAGCTGAAATATTTTCTTGGGTTTACTAGGTAAGATATTGAGGCTCAGAGGAAAAATATAATGTCTGAAATGATAAAGGAATAATTATGATGACAGCAAATATTCTTGGGTACTATGATTAGAGCTTTCAAAATACATTAGCTCATTTGATCTTGACAAGGCTGAGTGAGGTTAAGTTCAATGATTACCCTCATTGTACAGACAAGGAACTAGGGCATGTGAAATAAGTCTTACCTGTAGACCCACACCTTGTAAGTGGCAGAGATGGAAGCTCCAAAGAGGAAACATTAAGGAAAAAGAAGGCCCCTGAAAAGCTTTCTAACCATCAGTAGCGAGCTCTACAAACACCTCACTCTGTGAAAGAGAGGGTGTTACTGTTCCCAGAACTCAGCTGGAAAACAAGTCAACTAAGGTCCTGAACAAAGCTCTTGCAAACCTTAATGAATTGTAAATGTAGCGTGAAAGTGTACTTTCTTTCTTTGTGCTCACTCTAAATGTATCTCTGCAAAAGAAAAATTATAGCACTTACTAGAAAAACATTTCTGGATAAGTAAGTGCATTAGAGATTTAGACTCTGGGAAAGTAATTGGTACTGTTTCATAAGCTGGACTCCTTAGAACAATTTAATGTAGCAATGAAAACATTTGTTTCAAAAGCAGGATGAGACTTGGCACAGGTGGGCTGTTCCACACCAAGCTGGGGCAGAGGGACAGCTGGGGTCCCAGGTTGCCATGGAAACCTACAATGCATTTATCTTATTATCCCAATGACGACTCCTCTCCTGCTGGTTGTCTGATTCCATCTCACTACACTGTCTTCCACTTACCTACCATCGTGACTTACTTTAAGCAAACACAATGTGCTTCGGAAAAATGATGAGATTCCTTATATTGTTTTCCAAAATATTGTTTAAAAGATACTATGAGATTTTTCTGTCTAGGCAAATCTTGGTGAATCTTTTAGAGGATTAATTATGTATAAAGAATTTACCCTTAATTTTGTGAGGGTTTTTTCTGTTCTGTCAATCTAAGTAGGTTTTCCATACCTTGCAGTTGTTTTTTTTTTTAATTTTTATTTTTTATTAGCACATGTTTGCCATACATAATCATCACATTTCTTATGGGAAGTTGGTCCCTGTACCTAACTCATCTCAGTTCTTTTTTTCATCCCTTTCCCTTTCACCTTCCCTGCTCCCTCCATCTCTTGGTCCCTTGCCCATTTGCAAAAGATCTCTCTCCCTACTTCCTATTTTTCTTAAATGTTGCATATTTGCTCACCAAGGTTTGCCTGAACTAAGGAATACACAATCTTCTAGTTTTAATTCCAGCCTATGGTTAAATAAAAATTTCATTAATTTGAGACTTAATACTGCACCTAAAACACTAAGTCACTCAAGTGGGACAGCAAGAGAATAGGCAGATTGATCTGATTTTAATAAAAGACAAAGAGATGTTTCACTGTTAGATATATGATCTCTTTATGTAGATAAGATAAAATTATGATGAAGGTGGTATAAAATTCAACTTAGAACTGTCTTACAAGCCATTCAAATAAACTATTTCAGCTCATCAAAACTTGTTACTGCTCCTTGCACAGGAAAACTAAGGCAATATTTTCTTCCCTTTCCACCCAACATAAATTATCCTAGGCAGGGACTCAGCATGTGAGGAGCTATTTACAAAACCTTAGTTTAAAATCATATTTCAGAATCACAAAGACAATGGAAGCTCACAACATTAAGAATTCTTATATTTTCTCATTCTCTTTTCAGGATGTGGGAGAGGAAAAACATAGTGTAGTCTCTTTCAAATAGTGGTTTGAATATATTAATCAAGTGACAGAGTCTACAATAGGTTACATAATGTCTATATCTAAGAATGAAGTTTCTTGACACTTACACAAGCTGGATAATTAGATTTTCCTAGTATGAATTATTTTAAGAAATCATGCAACCAGAAAAATTAGAAAACATTTGAAGAACTTAAGAAAACATGAAAAGTAATGAGGTAAAACTAGTGTTTTCTATAAGTAGGTTAAGGCAATGATTGGGGAGGCAAAAGAAAAAGAATTCAGCACCTGCTGGAGAATATTGGCTCAAGCATTTCTTCTCTAATTTGAACATGGGAGGGGGAGTGTCAAAACAGGCTTTTGCAAACCTCAGTTGGATTTCACCAGAATTATAGCCCCATGTTCTCCCAATGCATATCAGTCAGGTGCCAGCTGCCACGCATCCTTTCACACAGTCATAATTCCAAACTGGAACGATTTAAACTTTGATTTTTTTCAGTTTCTTTTGTTTTTGTTGTTTTCAAAATATGCATAATATGTACATGATTATGTGTGCATTGTCCATAAATTCAATTCATTTAGGCAAGGGACTACCATTCTTTTTGTGTCTCTGGTTTCCCTCCTAATCCATCTCCTCTTCTGTCCCTTCCAAGTAGCTAACAACTAAACCTTGTCAGAACAATTTAAACTTTAAGTGCAGATATATTTTCTTTTACATGAGTAATATAAAATATAAAATGTATATTAATGGTTGTCATTTATTTCATACTTTATGTGTCTGGTATGAGATTATATTTTTGCACATTATTTGAAATGCTTACATTTGCATTGAGCATCAATATTATTTCCATTTCACAGATTAAAAATGTGTCTTAAAGAGATGTAATTTTCCCAAGATGACATAGCTAAGGAGGAAAGGAACCAGGATTCAAATCACAGCTATGTCATGTTTACCCACACCTGACTAAATCAAAACTATCTGTTTCCCTTTTTTATTGCAAACCCTGATTATTATTTCCTTTACAGGGATAATATGAGCAAGTAATTTTAAAGACTATTTATCACTTTCTCCCAGAAATTTGGTCTGACAAATTAGGATTTCATCTGATTTGATGACATATACAATTTTGTGCCTCCCTGAACAAATTTATTCTCAACCTCTGACTTTTAGAAATGTTAATGGCTTCCATCTATTCCCATTGCATTTCAGCAAATGTAATCAAATTTCTACTACCCATAAATCCCTAAGTGAGGCAGTGAAAATGTTAGAAATATGAATCAAGTTGTAAAAAGTATTGGACCTTTATGTTAAATAGAAACAATTAGATGCATTATAAATATGAATAGTTGGAAAATAGTTGGAATCATATCAACATCCCTTTTCTGCTACGGCCACACAAAGTGAGGTATCAATGAGGAAAGAATGAAGCAAAGGTGGAAGGAACAGATGTGTCAAGAAAAAAGAAAAGAAATATAAAAGGTCATTTTTGGCATAAAAGGAAACCGGTGCCTATTAGGTTCTCCACAATGTTTGTCGGAGTGGAAAATTAAGAGGATAGATACTAAGAACAAAGTAAAACAACACTTAATAAATTTAACAACAGAAGTAGATACTGGTGACTAAGGGGCACAAAAAGAAAATGCAGTAGACAAAACTTTATCATTGATCATTTTTGATACCAGCTTCAGTAACAATTTACAGGTTTACCCGGAAACAGATTGCCTATTTCTTCTCCAAACTACTTATTTGCCTTGATATTCTGCATAGAATTTCATAATTGGATAGAGATGGAAACCATGTATTGCCATATCCTATACAAAGGAATTTGCCCTTGCCACATAAAGGACAGCTTTTTTGTGTACTGTCCATTGTAAATGTCTGTGGCTGGTTAAAAAAAAAATCTTGAGCATCTCAATGAGAATAGTGTGAAATTACCTGTTCTAAGATAAGACTCCAACTATAGACTCCATTGACCACTAAACAAACGTGCTCTCAACACAGAATTAGTGAATGGCTAGTCATACCTGATAAGCACTAACCAGAAAGATAACAAAAGCCAAATTTATCAAGCATTTATTATGTACCATGTACTTGTACTTACATGAATTATGGTACTCAATTCATATATTGACTCTATAAGTGAATATATGCTTTGTGGATGAAACTTCATAAGTGTATTAGTTAGCTTTCTCATGGCTGAAACACAATACCCAATGCCTACAATTTAAAGAAGGAAAGACTTAATTTGCTCACTGTTTCAGTCCATAATCAGCTGACTCCAAGGCAGAGTGTTGTGGCAGAAAGGCATGGAAGAGCAAAGC